TTTTTTTTTTTTTTTTTTTTTTTTATTTTAACTATGTTATTCTCTCAAATTCTTTTTGCCTTTCACTTCCTTCCTACCACTACCCCTAAGACTATATACAGGGGACCCCTGCAACCATAGGGCCTCGCAAACGAGGTAAAGCATGTTGCCCCACGCCCTAACAGCGGTAGTCAGAGATGGGGTGGGGCCGCCGGTGGGGAGAGTGTTGGCGATAGCCTCTGCTCCTACTCGATGAGGGGTGGGGGACGATGAGAAAGGGAGGCACAACTACTGGCAAAATGCTCGGTGCACTTTTTTAAATGGAAGAAATCATTTAAACAATTGCAAAAAATACCCAAAAAGGTGTCACACCTCGTCATTTATCGACTTACCTTGAGGGCACAGGTGCGCAGCCCGTAGTTTGTATATGCTTTATTGATAAAGGAGGCGTTATTGGTGAGGTTTAGAAGTATGCACTTGCAAATGCAATGCAGGTGTGTCGTTTCAACCTGCGGCCAAGGCCGTGCCCTTTCCGATTTCAGACTTTTCCACTTTCCCACCCTGCCGCTCCTTTGCCACCGTTTCGACCAAAACCCAACACGCGGTCCCACAGGCAGCTACCGGTCCCGCATTTTTCAAAGAAACTGCCACCACTCCCCAAAGTTCCACCCTGCCGTTTTGCCATTGTTTCGACCAAACCCAGCGCGCAGTCCCACGGGTAGCTACCGGTCCCGCATTTTTCAAAGTAACTACCACCATCCCCTAAACTGTCGTGCTTGCACCTGCCTGCATTTTTCGAACCTTCCAACGACCAAACGAGCCCGAATCAACAACCGGTATAACGAAGGACGCCGAAAATGTCTCGGGGGGGGAAAACGCATCCCTGATGGGCTGCAAAAATGTCTCGGGGGAGAAAACTCATCCCATTCAGACTTTCCACTTTTTCACCCTGCAGCTGCTTTGCCACCGTTTCGACCAAAACCCAGTGCGCAGGCAACTACAGGTCCCGCAATTTTCAAAGAAACTGCCACCATTCCCCAAAGTTCCACCCTGCCGCTTTTCCACCGTTTCGACCAAACCCAGCGCGCGGTCCTACGGGCAGCTACCGGTCCCGCATTTTTCAAAGAAACTGCCACCACCCCCTAATTCGTGCCTGCACCTACCTGCATTTTTCGAACCTTCCGAGTCTAACGACCAAACGAGCCTGAATCAACGACCGGTATAACGAAGGTCGCCGAAAATGTCTCGGGGGGCGGAAACGCACCCCTGACGGGCTGCAAACTGTCTCGGGGCGGAAAATGCACCCCATTCAGATTGACTTACCGTGAGGGCACGGGTGCGCAGCCCGTAGTTTGTTTGTTGATGTTGTTGTGAACGTGTGTGTGTGTGTGTGTGTGTGTGTGTGTGTGTGTGTGTGTGTGTGTGTGTGTGTGTGTGTGTGTGT